CACGCTAGGCCCTTGTTCTTGCTATTTTGAAAATGCTAGGCCCTTGTTCTTGATTTTTTGCACACGCTAGGCCCTTGCTCTTGGTATTTTGCACTTGCTAGGCCCTTGTTCTTGCAATTTTGCACACGCTGGGCCCTTATTCTTGCAATTTCGCACACGCTAGGCCCTTGTTCTTTTTATTTTGCACACGCTAGGCCCTTGTTTTTTTTATTTTGCATACGCTAGGCCTTTGTTCTTGCTATTTTGCACACGCTATGCCCTTGTTCTTTTTATTTTGCACACGCTGGGCCCTTGTTCTTGCAATTTTGCACATGGTAGACCCTTGTTCTTTTTATTTTGCACACGCTAGGCCCTTGCTCTTGCTATTCTGCACTCGCTAGGCCCTTGTTGTTGCAATTTTGCACACGCTAGGCCCTTGCTCTTGCAATTTTGCACACGCTAGGCCCTCGTTCTTTTTATTTTGCACACACTAGGCCCTTGTTTTTTTTATTTTGCACACGCTAGGCCCTTGTTCTTGCTATTTTGCACACTCTATGCCCTAGTTCTTTTTAGCTTGCACACGCTAGGCCCTTTTTCTTGCAATTTTGCACATGCTAGACCCTTGTTCTTTTTATTTTGCACATGCTAGGCCCTTGCTCTTGCTATTTCGCGAACGCTAGGCCCTTGTTCTTGATTTTTTGCACACGCTAGGCCCTTGGTCTTGCTATTTTGCACTCGCTAGGCCCTTATTCTTGCAATTTTGCACACTCTAGGCCCTTGTTCTTTCAATTTTGCACACGTTAGGCCCTTCTTCTTTTTATTTTGCACACGCTAGGCCCTTGTTCTTTTTATTTTGCACACGCTAGGCCCTTGTTGTTGCTATTTTGCACACGCTACGCCCTTGTTCTTTTTATTTCGCACACGCTGGGCCCTTGTTCTTGCAATTTTGCACATGCTAGACCCTTGTTCTTTTTATTTTGCACACGCTAGACCCTTGTTCTTGCTATTTTGCGAACGCTAGGCCCTTGTTCTTGAATTTTTGCACACGCTAGGCCCTTGCTCTTGCTATTTTGCACTCGCTATGCCCTTGTTCTTGCAATTTTGCACACGCAAGGCCCTTGTTCTTGCAATTTTGCGCACGCTAGGCCCTTGTTCTTGATTTTTTGCACACGCTAGGCCCTTGCTCTTGCAATTTTGCACTCGCTATGCCCTTGTTCTTGCAATTTTGCACACGCAAGGCCCTTGATCTTGCAATTTTGCACACACCCTTTTGCACAGACAAGCTCCTAGATCCAGAAGCTTGCCCGGTCCAGGAGCCTTCCTGGTCCACGAGCCTGCCTGGTCCGAGAGCTTGGCTGGTCCACGAGCTTGCCTGGTCCAGGAGCTTGCTTGGTCCAAGAGCTTGCCTGGTCCAGGAGCTTGCCTGGTCGAGGAGCTTGCCTGGTCCAGGAGCTTGCCTTGTCGACGAGCTTGCCTGGTCCAGGAGCTTGCCTGGTCCAGGAGCTTGCTTGGTCCAGGAGCTTGCCTTCTCCATGAGAATGTCTGGTCCAGGAGCTTGCCTGGTCCAGGAGCTTGCCTGGTCCAAGATCTTGCCTGGTCCAAGAGCTTGCGTGGTCCAGAAGCTTGCCTGGTCCAAGAGCTTGCCTGGTTTAGGAGCGTTCCTGGTCCAAAGCTTGCCTGGTCTAGGAGCTTGCTTGGTCCAGGACCTTGCCTGGTCTAGGAGCTTGCGTGGTCCAGGAGCGTGCCAGGTCAAGGAGCTTGCGTGATCCAGCAGCTTGCCTGGTCTAGGAGCTGTGGAAACAAAGAACGAGAATGAAATGACTATGAACGAAGTGAGTACAAATAGGAAACCCTAATTGGGTTGTACCCCCTATGGGATACCCCACTATAGCCTACAGAAACAAGTAAGCTATAAGTTCTGACACACCCCCATAGGCAAAGTGGGGGAGAACAAGGGGTCACAAGACCAGTCAAGCAAAGCAAAGCAAAGCTCAGGGTGGATCACAAAGTCACCACGCATTCCGAGCACAAGTTCAAAGGCCACAAGGCCAGTTTACATGCAAGATCATATATAGAGATATACAAGAGCAAGAGTATATATATGCGAAAGTACAAGCAAGGTCAAGAGGAGAGCAAGTGAGGCAAGACAGGCACAAGACCCAACTGCGTGCAGCAACGCTGATGATCACAAGGCGCAAGTGCCTTGGTGAAGACATCAGCAGTGTTGGCCTCAGAGGCCACGTACGCAAGTCGCAGCTGTCCACGCTGCTGTAGCTCACGAGCAAGAAAGTAGCGAAGAGCAATGTGCTTCGTTCTGTGCTCCAGTCGCTGCTCTCGACACAAGGCCAGCATGGCCTTGTTGTCTACGTACAGGACTGGAGGAGAACGAGGCTGCTCTCCAAGGTCGGTCAGCAGCTAGGTGAGCCAGCGTTACTCCTGTGCAGCCATAGCCCCAGCGTAGATCTCAGCCTCACAACTGGAGCCGAGAACAGAAGACGAGCGGGTAGCCCGCCACGAGACAGAGCCGGAACCAAGGCTGAAGGTGTAACCCTGTGACGACCGCTGCGTAGCCTGGTCGTCAGCCCAAGAAGCGTCTGCGTGCCCAGTGAGGACCACTGGACTGCGCCCTCCAAGCACTAGCCCCATGCCCGACGTACTGCACAAGTAGCGCAACACCCTCTTTGCTGCAGCCATGTGCTCTGGTCGGTGTCTCCCAGGAGCAACAAAGCGTGCGAGAATGCTAAGAGGGTATGCGAGGTCAGGTCGTGTGCAGGTCATCAGGTACATGAGGCAGCCAACAAGCTCTGCAAACGGGCCACTCGACTCTACGGACTCATCCGAAGGCAGAGCTGAGAGCGAGTGGCGAGTAGGCAGAGGAGTGGCCTGAGGCGAGGAGTACGTGAAGCCGAAGCGCTGAAGGACCTGCTGCACCATGTGTGACTGAGTCAGGGTAATGGTGCGGCGTGCTCTGTCCCGGGTGATCTGCAAGCCAAGGTAGCTGCGCAGTTCACCCAGGTCAGTGCACGTGTGTCTCTTCTGCAGCTCGGACTTCACGTAGGCGAGTCCAGCAGTGTCAGCTGTGGCAAAGACCAAGTCGTCGACGTACACGAGGATGTAGAACGGCGGCAGAGAGGTGTCGGTGCGCAGAAACAGCGACGGGTCGGCAGTGGAAGGAGCAAACCCAAGTGCCGCGAGCGTAGTCCTCAGTGTGTCGTGCCACTCACGTGGCGCCTGGCGGAGACCGTAGACTGGACGCCGGAGACTCCACTGGGTACCAGGAGGGAAAGACCCAGTGAAGCCAGGTGGGCGACGCAGCCAGATCTCCTCGTGCAGGCTGCCCTGCAAGAAAGCAGTGCTGAAGTCGAGAGAGTGCAGCTCGTAGTCACGGTGAGCAGCAACGTGTAGCAGAACCCGAAGAGTGGTCATCTTCGGGGTGGGGGAGAAGGTCTGAAAGTAGTCAACCCCCTGCCGCTGACTGAAGCCACGAGCCACGTAACGCGCCTTGAAGACAGGCGGAGAACCCGGCGGCCGCTTCACCCTTAAAATCCACATGCCACTGACGATGTTCGCCCCAGGAGGGGGAACAGCGTCAACGTAGGTGCCTGTGGACTTCCAGGAAGCCATCTCTGCATCCATAGCTGCCTGCCACTGAGAGGAGTAGGGACCCTCTATCGCCTCCGCGTAAGAGCGCGGAGTCGGGATGTCTGGTGCATCCGGGTCTCCCTCAGGGGCTAGCAGTACAGACGCGAGACGAGGTGAAGCGGCGGCCAGACACTGGAACTCCTCCTGCCTGTCCTCAAGGACGTCCGTGCCAAGGGCACACTCACCCCCGACGGACGAAGGACAGGCGGACTCAGACTCAGTGACAAGACGAGCAGCGTAGTCTAGACGACAGCGCGCAGCAAAGTCGACAAGCTCAGTGACAAGGGCAGACGCAGCAGACGACTCGAAGGAGGGGTCAGTGACAGCAGTAGCCAGGAGACGCGTGACAGTAGGACTGGCAGCACGAAGAGCGTCCGACTCCGGGTCGGCAAGAGCAGGAAGAGAGGAAGCAGGAGGAGAAGGCAAAGGGGCACGCAGAGGAGCAGTGGACGGACGCAGTGACATCCGGTGCGTGCCAGGGAGAGGAGGAGGACGCTGACGCGACCCGCGACCACTAGCGCGCTCAGTACGAACAAGCGACACAGGACGAGACGCAGGCTCACGACGCTCAGTAAGACCTCCAGTCGGACCAGCGTAGGGAGAAGGAGCAGGCAAAGGGGAGGCAGGCTGTAGCTGTGGCTGTGACCGGACAGGCTGCGGACCCTCTAAGGGAGGAGGAGGAGGTGTAAGACCAAGAACCTGCTGCAGGAGCGGAACGAAGTACGGTCGGGGCCGCGCGGCGACGCTAGAAACAGCAGGAACAGCACCAGCAGCCCCGGCAGGAGCACCCACTCCAGCAGCACCTCCAGCAGCACCACCAGAAGCTCCAGAACCTCCAGCCGCAGCACCAGGAGCACTGTCAGTCGGGCCGCCAACGGCAGGCTCAGCGCCAACACCCTCAGCAGGACCAGCTCCAGGAGAACTCTCAGACTCAGCAGCTCCAGCACCCACAGTACGAGCGCCGGCGGGGCGCGCAGCAGCAGTGCCCTCTGCAGCCGAAGAACCACCAGCACCAGCAGCACGCCTCCAGCGCCCGGCAAACCACTCACGCAGCTCGTGTGGGGAGAGTGGCTCCCGGCGAGACGAAGCACCCCCAGGCACAGCACCTCCAGGCTCAGCACCCCTAGACACAGCACCCCCAGGCACGGCACCCCCAGGCTCAGCACTCCCAGGCCCAGCACCCCCAGGCACAGCACCCCCAGACTCGGCACCTCCAGGCTCAGCACCCCCAGGCACAGCACCCCCAGGCTCAGCACCCCCAGGCTCAGCACCCCCAGACTCGGCACCTCCAGGCTCAGCACCCCCAGACTCCGCACCCCCAGGCTCAGCTCCCGCAGCAGCACCAGAGTCACCAGTGACCTCGACAGGCTCGACCGCGTCTACCTGGGACACACCTGAAGGGGCAGGACCCTGAGGGGGGAGGGGGACTACCGGGGGGGGACCTGGTACCAAGAAGAGCGGGGGTGGGGGGAGGGACGGAGTGCGGTAGGGGAAGAGGCGGTAGTAGGGTACCGACTCGTCGAACGTGACGTCCTGGGAGGACAGAACACGTCGAGAGGTGGGGTGGTAAAACTGCCACCCAGGGGCGTCGGGGGGGGAACCCCAGGAAGACGCAGGGAGAAGCACGAGGGGACAGCTTGTCCGCAGACAGGTCGCGAACAAACGCCCGAGATCCCCAGACCCGGAACGCCGACGCATCGCCAACCTTCCCCGTCCACAGCAGGGCTGGGGAGGTCTCCGGTCGAGAGACCCTGGGGTGGAGGTTGATCTGGTGCGCAGCGTACCTGACCGCAAACGGCCACAGAAAATGGGGAGCAGCCGCATGCATCATGGACGTACGAGCGACGTCCATGACCATGCCAATGCGGCGCTCAGCAATCCCATTTTGCTGCGGTGAGTCCGGAAGCGTGAAGGTCTGACGGATGCCTCGCACACGACAGTAGGCACTCAGGGGGCCGGAGGAGAACTCTCCACCTCTGTCCGAGTGCAGACGCAAAACAGGGAAGTCAGAGCCAAAGCTCCTCCGAAGCTGGAGACGAGCTGCGCGGATCCAGTCGATCAGCACCTCAGTGACCTCACCCTTGCTGCGCAAGGGGAAGACTGTGGTGTAACGCGAGTAGTCGTCAACCACCAGCAGGAAGTAGCGCTCCTGACCCTGTCCACGGACGCGGGCTGGGCCCCACACGTCCATGTGAAGCGTCTGCAACGGGGCCTCTGTGGGAGGAAACTGGGAGGAGTGAGGGGCAGCACGCTGGCGCCCCTCGACACAGGGGACACAGGTGGGGCCAGGGCCCGGAGGAAGGGGAGGGAGAGACCGGGGAAGACCAGACACAAGGACTCGCGAGGCCATGCCTCTGAGCCGAAGCAGAGAGGGGTGGCCAAGGCGGTGGTGCCAGAGGAGGGTCTCGTGAGACAGACGACGACACGAGCAGGGGGCAGACTCAGGACCAGACCTGGACGCTGCAGCAAACACCTGACCAGACGAAGGGACCCTACCAGACTCAGCACCTGGAGGAGAAGCAGTGGTCAGTGTGTACAGGCTCGACCCTGGCCGACGTGTAAACGTAGCCAGGTGGCGACCTGTATCCTCCTCTGTGCAGTGGGTCACCCGCTGACGAGCAGGGGTGAACTGGTGGACACCCGCATCCTGGAGGTCAGCACCACTCACCAAGTTCGTCGAGAACGAGGGGAGGTAGAGACCAGTCAGGGTGCCAGAGGGGGCCGCCGGACACGGGAGGACAGTGGAGAAGCGAGCCAGGACAGGCCCCCCAGAGGGGTCAGCCAGGGACACTGCAACCGGCCGACTCAGCGGCGTGAGAGTGGTGCGGTCCCTAAAGAAGGAGCGAGACGCTCCAGAGTCAAGGGTGAAGGTGTGAGAGGCCGAAGCCGACACAGTACCTGAGAGGGCAGACTCACCAGCACCTGAGAGCACAGACGCACTGGCACCTAGAGCAGCAGCCTCACTAGTACCTGACGCGGCAGTACCAATGCCCGGGTCGGGCGGGAAACACCGGTAACAGTCATCCTCATCACTACCAATCGCAGCATACATAGCAGAGAGAATAGCATCAAAATCAAGATCATAAATAGCTACACCAGCCCTAGACAGCTCTCCCCAGCGGGGGATCTCAGCTGCCTCCGGAAACTGCTGACGCCAGGCGTCAGTCAGGCGGCCAAAGCAGCGGCGGGCAGTGTGGGCGCCTCCACACCTCTCCCCTGCACGGTCACCGGTGCGGAGAACGTAGGGGCAAGGACCAAGCGCACCACCACGCTGACGCTGCGAGTACCACTCACGGAGCTGCTGAGGGGCGGGGACGGTGCGAGAGCGCTGCTGCTGCTGTGGCTGCTGCTGCGGCTGCTGCTGCTGCTGCTGCTGGCGCTGACCACCCTCGGAGCTGCTCCGCTGGGACGAGCCACTCCGACCCCCGCCTCCACTGCCACCCCCGCCTCCACCGCCACCCCCGTCTCCACCTCCACCTCCCCCACCAGGACCGTCGCTCCCACCGCTCCCACCGCCTCCTCCGCTACCACCTCCGCCGCCACCTCCGCCTCCACCGCCGCCACCAGTACCTCCACTCCCACCACCACCCCCACCGCCACCCCCACTCCCCCCGCCACCCCCACCGCCTCCTCCACCGCCCCCTCTAGCTCCACCCGCTCCCTTGCCCCCCTTGCCCTTGCCAGCGCGGCGCCTGCCGCTGGGGGCAGACGCCGCGCCGACCGACTCAAAACCAGTGAGGTCGGCCGCAGCGGCAGAGGCGACAGAGGGCAGCAGGGGGGAAGGACCACACCCCTCAAAGATGGGGGTGCGAGGGTCACCCCGAGAGGCCCCTACAGCGACAATACTCTTCTCAGCCGCTAGCAGGGACTCCTCAAGGAGGTCTACAGTGAGAGTGGTGGGACAGACAGAGAGAAACTAGTCCCTAACGACACGAAGGGACTCAGGGAGACGGGTGACGAGAAAGTAGAGAGTGATGTACATGGGAGGAGGGTTCGCAGCGCGGAACTCAGCAGGAAGGGCAGCGCGGTAGCGGGTGTCACTAGCACGGAGGTGGGTAACGAGGTCAGCGACAGTGGGAAAGGAAGCGAGGTCAGGGAAGAGAAACGGTAGCATGAGGCGGCTAAGGGTAGCGGAGGAAGGGGAGGAGTAGCGTGCAACTACAGCGTCGTACAAGGCCTGAGCGGTCTTGCACTGACTAAAGTGGGCACGCTCAGAGGAAGGGAGGTGGCGACGCACAGCAAGACGTGCAGCAGCATCGCGGGTCGCCCACTTGGAGCGAACGGCAGAGTCAGCATCAGCAGGTGGGGCAGGGACAGCGCCAGAGACAAAGTCAAAGAGAGAGACCTCATCTATCGCATCACACAGTAAGTACAGCTGCAGGTCTTCAATCCAGACGGCAAAGTCAACGGCCCTCCCCTCAGCGTCAAAGGTAAGAACATTGGGGGTGGCCATGACAGCAGCTGAAAATCTCACCGGGCTGGGAGAGGCGGGTAGGTCAGCAGGAGAGGAACAGCAGTACGGCTCCGCAGGCGGCTCGGGCGGCGCGGGCGGCTCGGGCGGCACAGGCGGCTCGGCGGCGGCTCGGGCGGCGGCTCGGCGACGGCTCGGCGGCGGCTCGGCGGCGGCTCGGCGGCGGCTCAGGCGGCGGCGGCTCGGCGGCGGCTCGGCTGCTGCTGGGCGGCGCGGGCGGCTCGGGCGTCACGGGCGGCTCGGCGGCGGCTCGGCGGCGGCTCTGCGGCGGCTCGGCGGCGGCTCGGCGGCGGCTCGGCGGCGGCTCGGCGGCGGCTCAGGCGGCGGCGGCTGCTGCTGGGCGGATCTGCGGGGCCGCGTAGCAGAGTGGCGGCGGGGCCGCGACCGAAAAGAGCGGCGGGGCCGCGTAGCAGGGGGCGGCGGGGCCGCGTAGCAGAGGGCGGCGGGGCCGCGTAGCAGAGGGCGGCGGGGCTGCGATCGAAGGGCGGCGGAGCCGCGTAGCAGAGGGCGGCGGGGCCGCGTAGCAAAGGGCGGCGGGGCCGCGTGGCAAAGGGCGGCGGGGCCGCGATCGAAGGGCGGCGGGGCCGCGTAGCAGAGGGCGGCGGGGCCGCGTAGCAAAGGGCGGCGGGGCCGCGTAGCAGAGGGCGACGGGGCCGCGAGGCAGAGGGCGGCAGGGCCGCGTAGCCGAGGGCGGCGGGGCCGCGATCGAAGGGCGGCGGCGGGGCCGCGTAGCAGAGGGCGGCGGGGCCGCGATCGAAGGGCGGCGGGGCCGCTAGGGAAGGGCGGCGGAGCCGCGAGGGGAAGGGCGGCGCAACGGTCCGCTAGGGGCGACACGACGGGTCGCTAAAAAAAACGCGCCTCGGGGCACGGTTCGGTGGGCCCTAGAAGCAGTCCCTAGGAGGGAACCTGCTCTGATTCCATGTGGAAACAAAGAACGAGAATGAAATGACTATGAACGAAGTGAGTACAAATAGGAAACCCTAATTGGGTTGTACCCCCTATGGGATACCCCACTATAGCCTACAGAAACAAGTAAGCTATAAGTTCTGACAGGAGCTTGCCTGGTCTTGGATCTTCCCTGGTCCAGGAGCTTGCTTGGTCCACGAGGTTGCCTCGTCCAGGAGCTTGCCTGGTCGAGGAGCTTGCCTGGTCCATGAGCTTTCCTGGTCCAGAAGCCTGCCTGGTCCACGAGCGTGCCTGGTCAAGGAGCTTGCGTGGTCCAGGAGCTTGCCTGATCTTGGAGCTTGCCTGGTCCAAGAGCTAGCCTAGTCCAGGAGCTTGCCTAGTATAGGAGATTGCTTGGTGAAGGAGCTTGCCTGGTCCAGGAGCTTGCGTTGTCCAGGAGTTTGGCTGGTCCAGGAGCTTGCTTGGTCCAGAAGCCTGCCTTGTCCAAGAGCTTGCCAGCTCAAGGAGCGTGCCTAGTCCAAGAGCTTGCCTGGTCCACGAGCGTGCTTGGTCCAAGAGATGGCGTGGTCCAGGAGCTTGCCTGGTCCAAGAGCTTGCCTGGTCCAAGAGCATGCCTGGTCCACGAGCTTGCGTGGTCCAGGAGCGTGCCTAGTCCAGGAGCATGCCTGGTCCACGAGCTTGCCTGATCCAGGAGCTTGCCTGGTCCAAGAGCTTGCCTGGTCCACGAGTCTGCCTGGTCCAAGAGCTTGCCTGGTCCAGGAGCGTGCCTGATCCAAAAGCCTGCGTGGTCCAGGAGCTTGCTTGGTCCTGGAGCTTGCCCGGTCTAGGAGCGTGCCTAGACCACGAGCCTGACTGGTCTAGGAGCTTGCCTAGTCCAGGAGCTTGCCTGGTCCAAGAGCTTGCCTGCTCCAAGAGCTTGCCTGGTCCAGGAGCTTGCCTGGTCTAGGAGCTTGCCTGGTTCAGGAGCTTGCTTGGTCCAAATGCATGCCTAGTCCAATAGCTTGCCTGGTCCAGGAGCGTGCCTGGTCCAAGAGCTTGCGTGGTCTAGGAACTTGCCTGGTCCAGGAGCGTGCCTGGTCCAGGAGCGTGCCTGGTCCAGGAGCTTGCCTGGTCCAGGAGCTTGCCTAGTCCAAGAGCGTGCCTAGTGCACGAGCCTGCGTGGTCCAAGAGCTTGCCTGGTCCAAGAGCGTGCCTGGTCCACGAGCGTGCTTGGTCCAGGAGCTTGCGTGGTCCAGGAGCTTGCCTGGTCTACGAGCTTGCCTGGTCCAGGAGTTTGCTTGGTCCAGGAGCTTGCCTGGTCTAGGAGCTTGCCTGGTCCAGGAGCTTGTTTGGTCCAGGAGCGTGCCTGGTCCAGGAGCTTGCCTCGTCCAAGACCTCGCTTGGTCTAGAAGCGTGCCTGGTCCAAGAGCTTGCCTGGTCCAGGAGCGTGCCTGGTCCAAGAGCTTGCGTGGTCCATGACCTTGACTTGTCTATGAGCGTGCGTGGTCCCAGAGCTTGCATGGTCTATGAGCTTGCCTGGTCCAGGAGATTGCCTGGTCCAGGAGCGTGCCTGGTCCAGGAGTGTGCCTGGTCCACGAGCCTGCCTTGTCCACGAGCGTGCCTTGTCCACGAGCGTGCCTAGTCCTGGAGCTTGCTTGGTCCAGGAGCTTGCCTGGTCCAGGAGCTTGAGTGGTCCAAGAGCTCGCCTGGTTCAGGAGCTTGCTTGGTCTAGGAGCTTGCCTGGTCCAAGAGCTTGCCTGGTCCACGAGCATGCTTGGTCCAAGAGCTTGCGTGGTCCACGAGCTTGCCTGGTCCAGGAGCTTACCTGGTCCAGGAGCGTGCCTGGTCCAGGAGCGTGCCTAGTCCACGAGCCTCTCTGGTCCAAGAGCTTGCCTGGTCCAAGAGCGTGCCTGGTCTACGATCGTGCCTGGTCTACGAGCTTGCTTGGTTGAAAAGTTTCCCTGGTCCAGGATCTTGCCTGGTCCAGGAGCTTGCCTGGTCCAGGAGTTTGCTTGGTCAAGAAGCCTACGTGGTCCAAGAGCTTGCCTGGTCGAGGAGCGTGCTTGGTCCAAGAGCTTGCGTGGTCCAGGAGCTTGCCTGGTCCAGAAGCTTGCTCGGTCCAAAAGCGTGCCTGGTCGAAGAGCTTGCGTGGTCCATTAGCGTGCTTGGTCCTAGAGCTTGCGTGGTCCAGGAGTCTGCCTGGTCCAGGAGCGTGCCTACTCTACGAGCTTGCCTGGTCCAGGAGCATGCCTGGTCCACGAGCGTGCCTAGTCCAGGAGCTTGCGTGGTCCCGAAGCTTGCCTAATCCAGGAGCTTGCTTGGTCCAAGAGCTTGCCTGGTTCACGAGCCTGCCTAGTCCAAGAGCTTGCCTGGTCCAGGAGCATGCGTGGTCTTAGATCTTGCGTGGTCCAGGAGCTTGCCCGGTCTAGGAGCGTGCTTGGTCCACGAGCTTGCCTGGTCCTGCAGCTTGCCTAGTCCAGGAGCTTGCCTGGTCCAGGAGCCTTCGTGGTCCAGGAGCTTGCCTGGTCCACGAGCTTGCCTAGTCCAGGAGCTTGCCTTGTCCAGGAGCTTTCTTGGTCCGTTAGCTTGCCTGGTCCAGGAGCTTGCCTGGTCCTGGAGCTTTCTTGGTCCAAGAGCTTGCCTGGTCCACGAGCTTGCCTGGTCCAGGAGCTTGCCTGGTCCAGGAGCTTACCTGGTCCAGAAGCGTGCCTGGTCTAAGAGCTTGCCTGGTCCAGGAGCGTGCCTGGTCCAAGAGCTTGCCTGGTCCAAGAGCTTGCCTGGTCCAGGAGCTTGCCTGGTCCAGAAGCGTGCCTGGTCTAAGAGCTTGCCTGGTCTAGGAGCTTGCTTGGTCCAGGAGCTTGCCTGGTTTATGACCTTGCCTGGTCCAGGAGCTTGCCTGGTCCAAAGGCTTGCTGGTCCAGGAGCTTGCCTGGTCCAGGAGCTTGCTTGGTCCAGAAGCGTTACTGGTCCAAGAGCTTGCATGGTCTGGAATCGTGCTTGGTCCGAGAGCTTGCCTGGTCCAAAAGCGTGCCTGGTCCATGAGCGTGCCTGGTCCAAGAGCTTGCCTAGTCAAGGAGCTTGCCTGGTCCAGGAGCTTGCCTGGTCCAAGAGCGTGCCTGGTCCACGAGCCTGCCCGGTCCAAGAGCTTGCCTGGTCCAGGAACGTGCCTGGTGCACGAGCGTGCCTGGTCCAGGAGCTTGCCTGGTCGAGGAGCTTGCCTGGTCCAGGAGCTTGTCTCGTCCACGATCTTGCTTGGTCCAGAAGCCTGCCTGGTCTAAGAGTTGCCTGGTGCAGGAGCGTGCCTGGTCCAAGAGCTTGCGTGGTCTAGGAGCTTGCCTGGTCCAGGAGCTTGCCTGGTCCAGGAGCTTGCCTGGTCCAGGAGCTTGCCTGGACCAGGAGCTTGCCTCCAGGAGCTTGCCTGGTCCGGGAGCGTGCGTGGTCCACGAGCGTGCCTCGTCCAAGAGTTTGCTTGGTCCAGGAGCTTGCCTGGTCCAGGAGCTTGACTGGTCTAGGAGCTTGCCTTGTCCACGAGACCGCCTGGTCAAAGAGCTTGCCTGGTCCAGGAGCGTGCCTGGTCCACGAGCGTGCCTGGTCCAAAAGCTTGCCTGGTCTAAGAGCTTGCCTTGTCGAGGAGCTTGCCTGGTCCAGGACCTTGCCTGGTCCACGAGCTTGCCTGGTCTAGGAGCTTGCCTGGTCCAGGAGCTTGCTGGACCAGGAGCTTGCCTGGTCCAGGAGCTTGCCAGGTCCAGGAGCTTGCCCGGTCCAGGACCTTGCCTGGTCGAGGAGCTTGCCTGGTCCAGGAGCCAGCCTGGTCCAAGAGCTTGCCAGGTCCAGGAGCGTGCCTAGTCCAAGTGCTTGCGTGGTTCAGGAGCTTGCCTTGTCTAGGAGCTTGCCTGGTCTAGGAGCTTGCCTGGTCCACGAGCTTGCCTGAACCAAGAGCTTGCCTGGTTCTGGAGCTCGCCTAGTCAAGGAGCTTGCTGGGTCCACAAGCTTGCTTGGTCCAAGAGCTTGCTTGGTTCAGAAGCGTGCCTGGTCCAGGAGCTTGTGTGGTCCAGGAGCTTGCCTGGTCAAGGAGCTTGCCTGGTCCATGACTGTGC